AGGGGCATGATCCTCCTTTTTGGGCTTTTTGGCAGGGTCTGCCTGTGGCCAGTGGGTGAGCTTCTGTGGGCCAGATCCAGAATGGGCATGATCTGGCATGCTGGCCCTCTCCCATGCTCTTGATCCAGCTGCAGAGCTATCCCACACTGGAAGTTGCAGTGATTAATGCTGCCACTGCTCCCCTGCACTGCCAAATTTCCAGACCTATGGGGAGCCCTTCCAGCTGAGTGACATGACCCCACAGGCCAGAGGTTGAGCAATACTGTTCTAATAGAACCTTTCAATTTTAGTACCCTGATGCTGCAGAGCCAGCCACAAGAGGGAGCATAAAGCAAACTTTACATCAATATGTGCTGACCTGACTGCTGATATTCAGCAAACAAGGAATGATACAACTACACAAGTGGGTATGCTGGCTTCAGCTGCACTGGAAAATAAAGTGCCACAAGCAGAGTATGAAATAAGAAAGCTCTTTTAAAAAGAAAAGATATGGGAGACAACAGAGAAAGGAAATGTTAGCCAAGTGTCACTCTGCATATGGGTTTTTTTTTTATTTTGCAGGTATCTATATAGTTTTGAAGCAAATTCCAGGATTCCAAATCCATGCATCCCTCTGGGATTTGATTACAGTAAAATTTGATTACTTAAAGTCAAATATGCAGTATGGAAATGAAGAATGGACTTCTTTCTGCTTCATTCTTGCACCACTCTACACAGAAGCAGAAGTCCTGGTTTGAAAGCAGTAATATATTCCATGTTCTCACTTATTTTATTCCTTTAGACTTGCACTTTCACTTAAGTGAATACTGCTAAGTTTTGACCAACACCAACTAATGTTTGTTTTACATGTATACACACCCAAAAGGAATTTGTCATTCAGGAGGCTTTAGAAGAACATGACAAAAATGGTGATGGATTTGTAAGTCTGGAAGAGTTTCTGGGTGACTACAGAAAAGATCCAAGTAAGTATAAGCAATGGAGGGACAGGGTGAAAAGAAACTTTGAGTTTTCTATAATGTTTATGGTTTGAAAGGTTTTACACTTACAATCAAAGAAAACCTACACAAGTCTTTGGGTGGCCCTAACATACTTTTTTTGAAATCGTAGGACAAACGGAGCATAGCTGAACGTTTCTTTTCTCCCATATTTTCTGTGTATGTTTGTCAGTTGTTGGAATATAGCCCATTCCACTGTTTCCTTTTAATGGTATGAGAAAAGAACTATTGTTCCTGACACTGTAGGAAGATGAACTACATTCCTAGTGTCATGTTTCACTTGGCTGCAGTTCAATTTATTTGAACACAGCTTGGAAGCTAGTCAACAATAATTCAAGGTCAACCCTTGTTCCTTGATCTGTATCACCTGGGAAGACTGATGGCAGCCCCGGCTTCCACCACTGTACAACCCATCATTAAGGTTTAATGGTACATAATTGGGGGGGTGGGGGGAGAATGGAAGTTCACATACCAGACATTAAGACCCTATCCTTATCTGCTGCTGTGAGGGGTTGTCCTTCCCTAATCTTGCTTCCAGTTGTGGTGTTCTGTTTTCTGATAAATCACACTTAATGTGCAGTTGTGCTGGCTACCTGAAAGGTTGCAAGAACACAAACAATTGAACTACTGGTCTCTGAGTTGCTGCAGGAAAGGTGCAAAAAGACCTTCTGCCAGTCTATCAGTGTGGAGAAATTCTTTCCAGCCCCCAAAAGGCAATGAGAACGATGTTCACCATGAGCTCCTGAAATCTATAACTACGTATATCTAATGGGGTGAAGAAGATGAGAGTTCCTGGATGTAGAGCAGTGTTGCAAGCGAAAGGAAAGATTTGACTTATAAGGAAATGTGGGGGTAATGAGTTACTGTTTGCTCCCCTTCCATCCAGCACAGCACCTAGGGATTTTTCTCCCTACTTCCCTTTCCTCAAGTCAACAAAGAAGGGCTGGGCTGCAGACAATCCTTAAAGGGTTTTCTTTTTCTTGCAGACCTTGATAGAGCCTCCTCCCCCTCTAAGACTGTGGGGGACAAGTAGAATATCTGATGCTTCCACAGAGTAAAAGGGAAGAGAAACATGAGGTTTGAAAATCAAATCTTGGCAGCTGGGACTTGAAAGCAGCTATAAAACCTATAACTGCTACTTGAACTCTTAAGGGTTAGTTTTCATGTAGAGGATGTCCCCGAATATTCAGAAAAACTGATTGATACAAACTATAGGGAAGGGGACTGTTTGATAATTACAGCCTGCCCCACACAAGAGTTGATTTCTGTAGCATCCCACTACAATGCAAGTTTGACAGTGGCAGCAAAGGTTGGAGAATTCCAACAAGATCCTGTTTGGATGGAGATATCTTTGTTAATGAAGAACAAGAGACCTTGCTTTCTTTACAAGAGAAACATAATTGTTTCTAAAGAGAGATTTTTTTAAATCAGTCTTCTGTGTAATGTCAGCTAGTTTGCTTTTTCTTTTTTTTTTTTTACTAGTTCCATGTGCTTCAGGATGTCTCAATCTGAGTTAATCCTTCAGAGTGACCTTTTCAGTGGGAAAAACTGGCTTGACAAATAACTTTAAACTATTGAAGAGGCAGAGTAATTGTAGTTGGGGATGTGAATGGTTAAACAATTAAATGTCCACATATTGATAACCAGTGATACCTTACTCGTTATCTTTTAACATGGAGTGGGGAGCAGCCCTATGAGAGAAGGTGTGGGGGGGAGAAGGGAAGCAGCGCCATGCCTCTGGAGGCAGAAGAGCAGGCAGGAGTGAGGAAGGCGAGACTAGTACCTAGCGTAGTGGGGGAGCTGCAAGGGACCTATCCTTCTTGTGGCAGTGCAACCCCAGCCCCTTCCCCACCATCCACCCTAAGGTGCATGTGCTCCTATTGCCAGCAACAAGCTGGGCCAGGGCTCTACAGACCCCAGTGCAGCCACTCCCAGCCGCCTGCCACAGCTGGCCTGGCCGCTTGGCAGGCCCCTGCCACTGAGCCTGGGCTGTTCATGGAAGGGAAACTGCAAGCAGCTGCACTTGGGTCTGCAGAGCCCTGTCCAGCTCATTACCATTAGCAGGTGCACATGTGCCTCTGGGTGGACAGCTTGAAAGGGGCCAGGGCTGCACTGCCACAGGAAGGATAGGGCTTCTCTTGGCTCCCCTGCCATCCATCAAGAGGTGTGCTTACACCTTCCACTGGCAACGAGCTGGGTTGGGGTTCTTCAGACCCCCATGCAGCTGCTTGCAGCCCTGGCCCCCAGGCAGCTTTGTGCTGGTGGCAGCAGCAGGCAAGGGGCTTTCCTAGCTCATTGCTGCTGCCTGTGGCTTCACAGGGACTGTGGTGGGGGCTCACCACTGCTGCCTGTAGCCAGCTCTAGTCCCCAGGCACCTGTGCACTGGTGGCAGCAGCAGGTAGGGGGCTTTCCCAGCCTGCATCTGCTGCTGACACACAACTGGCTGGGGGCTGGGACCAGCTGCAGGCAGCAGCAGTGGACCCCACCACAGCCCCACAGGCAGCAGCAGCGGTTCAGCATCTGGAAAATGAGTGAGTACAGGTGGGAGCCAGTTCCCAGTAGATGCACATTATCAGTTAACCATTTAACTGATCACATTGGGGGATTTTAAATAGGTACGTAATTGTTATTTACATCCCTAATTGTACTGGAGTTAGCTTTCAGACAGAAGTGGAATGGTTAAGTTGATAGTATAGTAGACCCCCGTTTTACATGTATTCGACTTACCTGTGTCTTGCATTTACGCAAATGAATATTAACACCCAAGCAGAGATGCACAGACTGAGTCAAACAGAGTTACACACGGCTTGGGTTCCCAAGCAGGATTCTGGAGGCTCACTCAGTCTGTGTCGCCATTGTAGCAGCATATGTTTACAATATGTTTTGTAACATAATAAATAAAGTATTGGTTGAAAAAGGTTTTATTTTGGTACCTTTGGTGTCATAAATGTGAGGTCTAAGGAACACAACCCCTCACTTTTCTGTTACTTCCTATGGGAAAATTCACGTCAAGTCGCATAAATTCGACATACGCAAAGTTTCTCAGGAGTGTAATATATGTGTAAGTCATGAGTCTACTGTAGCCCTTAATTTTTACTCTTTCTGATTATTTTTTTTTATGTCATGCTTTAATGTAGCCTCTGCTCTAAGTTTTGTCTTCATCCATAGGAATTTTGGGCAGTCGTGGTAAGAATGGTCTGTAATACTTGCCTTAGTCTAACAGAATAGGTGTCTTTTGTTTATTTGGGATGGGTTGTTTTGTTTTTGTATTTTATTTCTTTAGTTGACACTTCCTAAATTTAAATCTAATCATATTTCTATTAGGGGAAAAATGAACACCCGTGTTGCAAAGGTTTTTATTTTGTCAATACTCTTTCTTTAGCAGCAAAAGAAGATCCTGAATGGATACTCGTTGAGAAGGATCGATTTGTGAATGACTATGACAAAGATAATGATGGAAAACTCAACCCTCAGGAACTGCTGACTTGGGTAGTACCTAATAATCAGGGTATTGCTGAAGAGGAGGTATGCATTTTCAGTTCATGGCTACTGTGTAGACTTGATAGAACTCAACTGAAAATTATGGACTACTATAAAGTGACCAAATACATAATTCATCCAAATACACATTCATCCTATTTAGTCTATCAAAAAACTGTAATACAGCTTGGTAAGCAATGAAATCACTTAATAGATCTTCCCATAACTTTTTCTAAAAGCTCCTGGGTTTCAATTTAAAATTTGCATGTCATGTAGTGCAGCAGTTGGAATTCTTATGAACTATTTGAATGTTGGTCAAAGCACAAAAATCATACAGTTACATTCTTCAAGGTAAATAAGTCTATTGAGCTTGATGGACAGATACAGTGCTGTAAGCAAATTGTTATAACTCTATAAAAATAAGAGGGATAAAATGAACCAATGAAATAGGCTAATCAGAGTCTATTACATTCTTGCAGCTGATAGAATTTCATTAGATCTTTTGACAACAGAAATTTGTTACCCTTCATGTAGCTGCATAAATTGCAACCATGTTTCTTGGCTAAGCAAAGAAACTAGTATTTGCATAAATCAAAACAGAATCCAAATATTCCATAATCTAAAGACCAGTAATGCAAAATTAAAATAAATCCATTGATTCTGACATTATGCCATACCACCTATTTTTTAATAGATTTCTCTTGGCTGTTTTTTCCCCCCTCTCCTGCTTCCTAGCAGACAACTGAAGTCTCTTCTCTACTTTTTGATTTCCTCCTCCCCTCAGTGGAAAAAATAGAAAAATAATGCTATTGCTGAGTGCAGCAGACAGTTTCTCCCTCTCTGCTAGGAATTATCTGGTAATTGGTATGAAGTGACTTCCTTTGAATACATTGCAGGGAAGAATATGCCTCACTTCTACACTTAAGTCACCTACTGTTCCCACTTTAAGAGCACACAACTTGTGCCAGAGAGCAGAGTTACCTTTTAACATTTTTGTTATACTGACATCAGCAAAAAAGCTGAAAAGCAGGAGCCCAACATTGGCTCTCCATATGTCACGTCTTTATGAGGTTAAGTTGCAGAATGATACGTTTCTTATATATGAGCCCAGTGAATCTTTGCTAGCAAGGTATCCCAGCCTTCTGATATTTCTACCATTGAACTGACTTTATAAGCCACTCCCATTCTTAGTTTAAGATAGTATGGTTCTTGCTAAATAACTGTTTTTGCCTTTCTCTATGCTTTCCTTTAGCCCTGCATTATCCTGTAATGTTTCAATAATGTTTTGATTGTTCCCTTGATTTTTAGCCAATAAATCAAATGGTTTTACAAGGCCATATCATTGTCTTCTGACAGATATTTCAGTCACTTTTTTCCATGGTGATGTTTGTTAAAAAGCACATTGTGGTGCTTTTCCACAATGAAGGGTTTGCTGAGAGCCTACATGTTGAAGGAAAAAGTGACATTAACTTGGACATTGGATGGTTGGAAGTTGTCAAAATGAGCCTACAAACACAAGTGACTTCTTTTGTCTGTTGCTTGAGCACTAAATTACCCCCAAAAAACTCTCATTTAATTTCCTTAGGGTAATTGCTCAATTGACCAGCACATCTAGAGACTGGAATGCATTTACCAGAATTTGCCTTCAGTATTGTAAGACTTCGCCTCTAAAAAGTGTGGTGGTCTTAATTTTTTTTTTTTAATTTTTGTTCATTGACCTTAGTAGCTATCATTTTCTTAAATCTTCTGTTAGGGGTATTTTTAAAGTAAATGTACATAACATCACAGAATGATTTAAGTCATGTTGAGAGAAACCAAGATATGCAGGCATATTTACAACACTTCTCCAGTCAGGTGTTATAGCAAATGTGGATAGTCTTCATAATAATAATCCAGTATGAAGTAATACTCCAGTATTTATCCCAGGAAAAGAATAGATATGACATTTCCAAAAAGATCAAAGTGCAAGAAAAATGCTGTATCAGGTTATAATTATTTGTCTTTAAGTCACAAAATGAAATGCTGCTTAGCAAAACTAGTGTGCCTTTAATGAGAGCTGCTTAATAATCTACTGTAAGATATGCACCTAGTGTCATTTTGGTACTGCTGAACTTACTCATATTTTACTATTTAAGTGAAAGAGGATCATTATCATAAGTGGCCTGAGCACTTGCTGAGGATGTGGCTTGTGTTTTCAATTATAGTGTGACCATTTAAAGCACTTTCAGATGAGCGTGCGCTCTGTAGAAGAAAAGGGAGATGATGAAAAGTTTTAATGTAATAGCTGAATCTGCTCATCATATTTCAAATTTCAGAAGGTTGTAGAGCTTTTAGAACTTTTTGTTGATCATAAATACAGAAAGATATCCTACAGAATATAGAATAAAGAATATCCAGTTTCAGATCTGTACCTGTATCTCTTTAAAGTACGCAGTTAATTTAAAATGCCTGTGGCTGGAGAGATGAGTCTTAAAAATGTAAGTTTACTTCCTGTGTTTTGGCTTTAAACAGAATCTCTTGTTTTGGTCAAAATTTATTAAAGAAAATATGCAAAGGTGAGGGCCACTAACATTAGCTTTTAGCATTAAGGATTTTCAACGCTAAAAGCAGGTGACCTAAAAAGATACGTTCTATAGATGAGAGCTGTAACAAATTTATTCTGGTAGATGTGACATACTGACCAAATAATTAAACTTCCTGTGCAAGAGGCAGTTTATTAAAAGTGTACATAGCTGAGGCCCAGAGCAGTTCAAATCCTGGATGAGACCTCACACAAAGGCTGCTATTTTAGCCAGCAAGCAGGAAAATGAACCAGAGGCCTTTAGAGTAAAGGCTGCTTGCCGACATTAAAAAAAAATAATAAAGCAGTGCTTTACTTTAAACTCGGCACGCTCCCACACTGAATTTAGCACATGCCCATAAGAAGCAGCGTGTTAGTTGGACCCGGCTTGCCTGATGTCTGTGCAGCTCAGGTGCTTTAGTGGGGCTTTTTTGGCACTTTTATCTAATAGGTGAGTGAATCAGCTTTAGCTAAAAGTGCTAAGAAGCCCCGCTGAAGCACCTGATATATACAGACACTGCAGAGCCGTGTTGAAGTAACGCACACTGCTGCTTTTTGTATAGCGCATTTGTTTGTTTTTGGGCTTTTTTTTTTTTAAATCTGCAAGCAGCCAAAAAGTACAGGTACCATATAGCCTGAGCTAAAGAACCAGGCTGTAGCTGGGAGATCGGAACAACTTGTGTGTCCCTTTGTGGGCTGGATGCAGAAGGGATGCCTAGTGCACACAAGCACTTTGCTTAGATTTATTCATTCATTCTTTCACTATTTGCTGAGAAATGTCTTCTGCTCTCCTAACAAAGCTAGTGCTTGAGCCTGTTTGATGTCAGTCATGTGCTATAGAATTGATGGATTTTGGAGATACAGCACTAGCTTTATTTCAAACCAGAAAGGAGGAAAACAGAACTTGAGAAAATAAGCCCATGTAAAATCTTAATTAGTGAATTAAGTGACAGTGTAATGGCAGGAATTTTACAAGTCTGCGCCAAAGAGCATATTCACATATGTTAGTGTTTATTTACTGTATAAAACACACTTGTTCCATCTATTTTTAAAGGCACTTCATCTAATAGAAGAAATGGATTTGAATGATGATAAAAAGCTCTCAGAGGCAGAGATTCTTGAGAACCAGGACTTGTTTCTTACCAGCGAAGCCACAGATTATGGCAGGCAGCTTCATGATGAACGTTTCTACCATGAAGAACTTTAGTTTATTCATCTGTGATCTGCTTTGCCTTCTTTCTGTCCCTCAAAAGAGCTTTCCTTAAGAATGCTCAATGTTAAGATATACTATAAGCTTTACTTTGTGTGATTATAATATACTAATGTTTGTGTAGATATTTTGCATTCTAAATTTACTGAAATGCTCTCACACTTCCTTGTCCTTTTTTCAGCCTTCAAAACTAATATTTACAATATTTATTTCTCTATTTCCAGTATTATTTGTTTCATAGTTTTTGAAAACATTCCTAGAATCTATATGCTTGGGACTTGTATAGTGAAGCGTTGTGCAACAGTACTTGAAGAATGAAGAATCTAATTGGATTCTGAAAAAAGCAAAATGTGTGTGTAATAAGTGAGAGAGTTACCAATGATGTAGTTTAGTTTATTTAAGCAGTATAGTGTTTTTCAGAATATGGAGAACAAGAGCAATGTTTAAATTTAGTATTTAAGTATGATATCTTATCACCTTTGGTGGAACATTCAGAAGGTTTAGTACCTCAATTGTTTAAGAGGTTTCATCTTATTTTTACATGGTTTCTATAAAAAGTTTTATTGCGATTTATAAAACCTGATATTTTTGAATCTATACAGGCACAGTAATTTTTAATGTATAATTCTACAACATTAGAGGTATGTAATGGTATTTTACATGGTTAAGACTCTTAATTTGTTGAATTAAAATGTTCAATGCTATATATTTTTATTTTTATGTTTATTCCTAGTCTTAGGCCATGCAAAGCAATTACTGTAGACTGAACTGGACATGGCACTATATCTATAAAGGGTTAATGTGAATAGGTGTCCTATCTAGTCTAGTGCTAAAGTCTGTCTATTAAATTTAAAGAAGAATGGAGTATTTTGTGGGTTACAGTACACCAAATGCTGGTCCGTTCTTCAATTCTATGTCAGTTATGAAACGCTTGAAATGATGATAATAGTAGAAATAAGAGAGTATATGTAACCTTCTAAACCAGTGGTCTCCACCCTGTTTATGGTGAAGATCACTTTTTGTAAGTAAAAGGCACCCCAGGATCTACTGCCCTGCCCTGCCCTCCTGACAAGCTGCCTGGGCTCTGACCCCACTCGCCCAGCCCAGCCCAGGCAGCAAGGGGGCGTGGCTTAGCCCAGCCCTGTAGGTCCTGCCGCTCTCAATCCATGGGATAGACTGTCAGAGGCTCCACGATCGACCAATCAATCAAGATTGACTGGTTAGTGACCACTGTTCTAAACAGTAGAGCTCTGAGCCATTCCTGAGATCAGGCAACATTCTTAGGCATTAAAACATTGAACATGACACAATGGAAGATACAAGAATTGCTAATCAAGAACATTTAACACTTTTTCTGAACAAAGCCTGATATTTGTGGAACGTTGGAAATATATTTTTATTAAAATGGAATGTGGATGAAATGGATTGTGCATAAAACACTGACTCTACAATAATAACACCACACTGTTTTAGGTGACCTAATAGCTTGGGTAAAATAGAACAAGGATGTTCAAATAATAGTACTTGTTGAGTAAGTGCTAATTTGAAATGGAAATTAAAGAATAAGTGCTAAAACACTACATACTACCATTCCTTCTCTCTCTTACAAACAGAATAATATAGAATCCTGCATCCTTTAGAAAGTCATTTATACTTATTTGAATGCATTTTCAATACATTTTGAAAGAGAGAGCATCTAAGATGTATTAGAGAAGCAATACCTAGGAACTGCACCCTTGGTATACTTTACCCAGTGATTTGTCTTTTCTCTGCAGTCATCTCTTCTGAATTACAGAGTAAAAATGTACACAGTTGCTTACACTGCAAACAGATGTCACTTTTGCACCACCATAAACATCTTTATGGTGGCACAGAGCAAAAACAAACAGACATCCATGCCCTTTATTGTGTCACAGATGCCCAAATTTGTGGCCATGAACAAAAAGGTTGTACTCATTTGTGCTGCTATCTTGCAGCAGGTGTCTGTTTATTTTATGATGGGAGAAGGCAGACAGCATAGAGTTGCAGGAACCCTGTAGAGGAATTCCAGGGGTGCTCTTCTGTGTTGGGAGAGGAGCATGGAGAAAACTTTAGGGCCTTACTTTCTAGCTAGTGAATAGAAAGCTATCACTGAAACCAGCAAGAGTATAGAAAGGTTATAGCAATCCTAATGAAAAACCAAGCTCAGAGCATAGAAGCCATATATTTTACTGTCTGTGCAAGAGGACCAATATTTTGCAACTCATTTTAACCTTTTTGTAAGCTAATAACTTTAGACAGTATTGGTTCTACTGCAGCCCCAAGCCAGGTTTGAAAAGTGTAGTGCTTCAGGATTTTCATCCAATAGAATAATTTTATGAGCAACAAAAAGCAAACTATGTAATTATGATGAAATGGGTAATTCAGAAATGCAAGACTCAGACAGTCATTAATGGGTTGGCATCCAGTCGACTGTTTTAATTCCTTTTTCTATAACCTGTAGAAAATTCTTGCAGACTTTTATTTTTCTAACATGCTTGTTAAAGTTGGGCTTTATTCATTAGGACTGAACCACTAATATCACTTTGTCTCAAATTAATCCATTTTCCATTAGTCTGATCAGAGTTATGCCCCTATAGGTCCTCTTAACAATTAAGCTTCATTTGAGAAGGAATTGTCCTACATGGTGATCTACAAATACAATTCAGCCATGATTATCCAGATATCCAGGGATAGGAGGGAAGACACTGGTTGAACAAGTGAGAACATTTTCAATGCCATTAATATTTGAAGGAATATGACACTTTCACTTGATGGCATGTTAGATAATCATTACTGAGAAGAGAAAACTGGAAGAATGGAACAAAATTGTATGTCTTAAGTAAAGAAACGCTACATTACTAGTTCAGGTACAATTCATGGTTGGCTTCTAGTTTTAGTCAAAAAGCCACAGACACTTGGAATTATAAAAGCATTTTTTCCTGTAGTAAAGATTGCATTCCTTATTTTGTTTATGGCTCTTGCAACTAAGAGTGATACATTTTGCAGTATAATGAGGCAAAAGGTTCCACTTTAGTTGTTCACCAGTAACCACTGTTTGGGTAACAACTTGAAAGAACAAAAAATTCACATTAAGTTTTAGGATCTAGACTACTTGGTGGAATACAATTTTGCACAAAGCTGTTACAGAAATGCCTACACAGTCAGATGGGTGGCAAATTGACTAGATGGTTGCACCCAGAGTGATGGTGGACGTGTCATTTTCAACCTGGAGGAATGTGGGCAGTAGAGTTCCCCAGGGCTCAGTCCTGGGGCCTGTACTGTTCAACATCTTTATCAGCGATCTGGATGTGGATGTGGAAAGCAAGCTGTCCAAATTCACTGACGACACCAAGATGTGGGGCGAGGTGGGCATGATGGAGGGGAGGGACAAAATCCAGCTAGATCTAGACAAATTACAGAGGTGGGTGGATGAGAATAGGATGGAATTCAACATAGAGAAGTGCAAGGTGCTGCATCTAAGGAGAAAGAACCAGGAACACACCTATAGGCTGGGGAACACCCTTCTTGTCAGTATGGTGGCAGAAAGGGATCTTGGAGTCATTGTTGACTCTAGGATGAAGATGAGCCACCAATGCAAGGAAGCAGTCAGTAAGGCTAACTGCACCTAGTCATGCATCTACAAGCAGGTCCAGGCAAGTGATCCTCCCCCTCTATGCGGCATTGGTCAGGCCACAGTTGGAGTACTGCATCCAGTTCTGGGTGCCACACTTCAAGAGGGATGTGGCTAGCATTGAGAGGGTCCAGAGGAGGGCCACTCACATGGTCCAGGGGCAGTGGAGCAGGCCCTATGAAGAGAGGCTAAAGGGCCTGAACCTATTCAGCCTCCACAACAGAAGGCTGAGAGGGGATCTGGTGGCCATTTACAAACTCACCGGGGGGATCAGCGGGAATTGGGGGAGGCACCACCTAGGGTTACTAGGAATAACAGCCACAAATGGTTAGAGAGAAGGTTCAGGCTGGACAGCAGGAGACATTACGGTTAGGGCTGCCAGGCTCTGGAATAGACTCCCAAGTGAGGTGGTGCTCTCTCCTACCTTGGGGGTCTTCAAGAGGAGGCTGGATGGATATTTGGCTGGGATGATATGATTCCGGCACCTGTTCCTGCCCCAGGCAGGGGGTTGGACCTGGTGATCTGTTTAGCTCCCTTCTGACCCTAAGTACTATGATACTATGAAAATGTTGAAAAACCTGAAAACACACTTCTTTGGCTCTTCAAAGTTTCAAAAGAATAAGTCTTTCTTAGCTTATTTTACTTTTTCTCCCTCTGTTTTCAGCCATTCAACCCAAAAAGTTTCAAGTTTAAACTTAAGGACTAACGTTTTCCTATTTTTTCCCAAATGGCTAAACTTTAACACAAGTCAAATCAGGTCTTGGAAACTAGTTTTAGATAGTAATTTGCTTTGCTAAAAACTCAGCTCAAGTCACATGCCATTCCTGCATAACCTTGGAAGTATCAGGCCATGCTCCATGAAATCTGCATAAGTTCGCCATGTAGAAGGCAAAGGACCAATCAAAGTCCCAGGCCTACATTCATTATTTTCATAGCAGGAAAAAGTCTGTCTGATTTTCAGCCGAAACAGCTTGAAACAGCTACGTAAACAAAGCCAGCCTCAAAAATCCTGATTTTTTACTTCAGTAGGCATAGGCTAATCAACGTAACAAATGCATAGCGTTTCCAGCATAAGTTAATGACCCCCCCACATCTTCACCTCAATATGTCATTTCACCAAGGATCCCTGCAGTTGCCAAATTATAAGATGCATGTGTATGCAGACAACATATTCAGAACAGATATCAAGGACTGCATTGTCTGCCCTTCTGCTAACAAGTCTGATCTATTTATAAGTTCTGGTGAGAGAGATTTCTCAGTGACCTTTGACTCTGGAAGCTGATCTCATTTTTGTTTTCAAATCTGAAGTTACTTTTGTCAGAGAATATAGGTTAGTAGTAGCTTCTTTGGTTTTATACAAATAAAAAGGAAAAATCCACGTAAAATCTTATACACTGCTGTAATTTAATCTTATACACTTATTGTAATTTAAAACAACAAAAATGCAAAAGCAATTTTCATTTTACAACCTGGAAAACACACAACTGCTTCCCCAAAGTGTCCCCATCAAATCTACCCTCCCACATGTGTCACCAGTGCAGTTTGGTGAGGGGAACAATACTGTATTACCAGCTCCACCAGCCTTAAACCAAAGAGGATCCTGGCTGAGAGCACTGACAAGCGCATCTGGTGTTACCATCCCACGAGCCATAACATCTCAAGAGTCTTATAATGAAGTACATGTAAATTCTGTATTTTCATCAGAGCACAATCTTTCCCATGTATGCAGATTCTTGCACAAGAATCACAGTCTTTACAGATGCCTTCCAGTGTGCCGGGGAGGAAACAGCAGTGTGCTTTAATCAGGATACTTGTGAAAAAGAGAGTTTGCATCCTTAGTTTAGATTTATTGCTTTAAAAAAAAACAAGATGACCTTGCTTATTCAAAGTGGTGTGCTAGCTGGGTCTGTCTGACGCTCAAAGCCCTAACAGAGAAATGCAATCAAACAGGGTTAAATCATTCCTTCAGTGTTTCAGCTCATTTTCATTCCCTGAAGTCCTCATTGTATTCAAATATTGTGCTTTTATAGTTAATGCTATCAAGCAATTTTTTCAGTGGCAAGCTCATCCAAGAAGATATGTCACTCATATTATCCTAATTACTTTCTGTAGTTTAAAGCACAAACGACAGTAGGAAGGACAAAAAGGTGTCACCACCCATGCTCCCTTTCAGCCTGTGATCAGGGAAATTGATTTTGTGAGGGACATATAT